TTTTGAATGAAGACTGTTTTGATGATATTTGTTTACCTATGTTTCATCAACTTATATGGAGATTAGTTGCTATGTATCTTTTATGGAGATCTTAAACCCACAAAATTGTTCATTTAATTTGTAACCAAACCTTTGTTCACAGAAACCTGGGGGTATCATAGCACTTCTGGATGAAGCCTGGTACATTTTTTACTATATTTCTCTTGGTAAGATGCTTAATTTTTGCTTGTAGTACCAATGATTGTCTGTTTTGGATGGTTCATGCAGCATGTTTCCTAGATCAACGCATGAAACATTTGCTCAGAAGTTATATCAGACTTTTAAAAATAACAAGCGTTTCTTGAAGCCAAAACTTTCCCGCACGGATTTTACAATATGTCATTATGCTGGGGAGGTACATAGCATTTCAGCCTGTTCTTTTGTTTTTTTCTTATGAATGTTTTATTCATAATCTTCAAGCAACTTTGGCTGTAGGTAAAATACCAAGCTGATCATTTCTTGGACAAGAACAAAGACTATGTGGTAGCAGAACACCAAGACTTGTTAAGTCCTTCTAAGTGCCCTTTTGTTGCGGGGTTATTTCCGCCTCTTCCTGAGGAAACGTCAAAATCCTCCAAATTTTCTTCAATCGGATCACGTTTTAAGGTACAGTGCTAATAGCTCTTAATTTTTTTTTATTTAAACCTATCATCTAAGTTTTTCAGGTTTCTAATTGGGGCGATCTAGTCTCACTAAGGTGTACTTTCTGTTTCTAAAATTCTGATCATTCATTTGTCAACCGACTCCTGGCATTGTGGTAGTAGGCTGGAGAGCATTGTTTAAGATGATTGGCATTTGTTAAGGTTATATATGCCCAAAATCCATAGACTGGGATCACAGCGAACCCAAGCTATGAAGGGAGAAAACTCACCGAGATGATTAGACAGTTCGGCCACAAAGTTCGATCAATTGATTGACTTAACCAGGCAATTACAGACTTCAGGCTAGCAGCTCACTTGCAGTTATCTGCGCATATATGTTCTCTTAGACTAAGACAGTTTGAAAGGTCCTTAGGGAAGCCCAACTTGCCCCATGACCGGTTTGGTAGAATTTTCTAGAGAAAATGCCCAAAAAGGG